ATCAACAATTGTATTTTGATAGGCCTCTTGGATGTCGTTAGCCAAATGAATTTATAATTAAAAAAAACCCTCCTAATATTAACAATAAGATTCCAGCTTCTTCGGAGTTTAGCACCCTAATAGTATCTATTTTATAATTTACCTTCTTATCTCACTATTCAATTAGAGTAGCCTACAAGTTGACAGTGTTGACATGCTGCCTTTCCTCAAGTATCTTTGTGTAAAATCGTTCAAAAACATCAACTTTCTGACATCTTGTTGTGGTTTGAAAAGCATGAGATACTGATTCCAAGTCTGAATAAGTGCAACATTGTAATGTTGGGTGTTTTTAAAACATTATTGCAGTTACAAACATGTAACAAATCAATAACTTCTGGTTTTATATTTTATATATATAACTTAATTTCATAGTGTACAGAATAGTTGGTCTTAGAGAGTGGTTGAACTTAACGGTTAAAACAATCTATGTTTTTGACAGATATGGAAAAAGGAGTTGTAGCCGATGTCGAGAAATTAGGTATCACAGAATCGTACGCTGTCAAACGTCAAGTGTTGCTGAGTGCTTCGGAAGCAGCAGAGATGATTCTTCGTGTTGATGACATTATTAAAGCAGCTCCTCGCAAAAGAACTCCAGACGTGGGCTATTAATTTACTACTCATTTGTAGTAATAGAAAATTCTTAAAATATGTACTGTTGCTTAATCTTTAAAAGGACGGAAGTTTCCAGTTTTTTTCTATAATAACTTAAATATGTGTTGCTTTGAAACCAGAGTTTACCTTATTTTGATTTGTATATCATTTTTTCTTTTCACTGACCATCTGAAGCTGTTTTAAACCATATAAAATAAAGTCATTCTGAGTCACAGTATCTTCTGGTCATTGTCTGGTTATGAACAACATCACCACAGGTTTTAATTACTTACACTCACTGCTGTGCCATGTAGTGTGTGAACAAGATTGTGTTGCCTGGATTACTACTTTCTGTAATGTTGTACATGTTTAATACATATTGTATTTCTTTGCTGACTGAAATCCTGGACAGAATCCTTTATAAGATCTAAAACACTCACACCAGGATCTTGTACAAGACGTTGCTCAGGATTCAGTAAATATTACAAGCTGCACACAACTCAATAGTTCCTACAGGATACATATCCTTATGATCCTACACAGGATTCAATTAATCCTATAAAAGATACATCTTAAGCCTAATAAAATAAAGCTGGAGTACAGCTAGAAAGAGGACACATATTTTGTATAAAATAAATAATTTCTTCCATGTGACATAGGCCGAAACTACTACAAATAATTGTCTGGTTAATGTGTTAACTTAAAAACATACAAGTGAATATCTGGACGTTGGTTATAGAATTACATCTTTTAAAAAAATTGTTTTTGAATTTCGTACAAAGCTACAAGAGGGCTATCTGCACTAGCCATCCCTAATTTAGCAGTGTAAGACTAGAGGGAAGGCAGCTAGTCATCACCACCCACCGCCAACTCTTGGGCTACTCTTTTACCAACTAAAAGTGGGATTGACTGTCACATTATAATGCCCCCACGGCTGAAAGTGCGAGCATGTTTGGTGTGACGGGGATTTGAACCCGCGACCCTCAGATTGTGAGTCGAGCGCCCTAACCACCTGGCCATGCTGGGCCCGTGAGATAAGAAGGAAAGACATTATGTCAACTTGTAGGCTACTCTAATCAAATATGTAGTGATCGTTATTAAAGCTTTGCGACAGGTAAAGGGATCGTTATTAAAGCTTTGCGACAGGTAAAGTGATCATTATTGGGAACACTTCATTTCATCACCTCGTATTTAATTCTCAAAATGTGAACTGCGGTCACACTTTTAACTTAGTGGGGTATTTTTACAAAGTTGGCTGTTAAGTAGATAAAAACAACTATTAAAATCGTAATATTCACCATGAAATATCACGTGTATAAAAATAATAGCTTTCCAATTAAGATATCAAAGATATTTTATTCTGTTAATACAATATTTGAAGATGTGTATATGTTATTTCAAGTTTTGTTATGAACCAGTAAATATATATTTTATTTGTAATGAAGCAAAACGTTTACAGAAAATACAATAAAAAGGATCTTGTATATAAAAGTTTAATGTTAAATGTGTGTGATTTACCCCCACAGATGGCTACAATAATTGCCGATAATGCTGGTTACGATAGTGCACAGCTGATATCTGAGCTTCGTGCAGCCCACGCTGAAGGAAAGAATACGTACGGAATTGGTAAGATGATTTAATGTTGATGAATGTTCAGCATATCTCAAAGGTTCTCAGTTTTTATAGTAATTATTTTATTTTTGTAAAAAAAACTCAAACTTTGAGGCTAACTCCACATTGTGGTTATTGAGTGAAAGCTATCAGGGTAACTTATGAGGTCTTGGTCAGTTATTGTTATTAGATATAAGGCACCATCTATTGGACAGTGTTCTCCTTTTTTTATCGCACATTGTTAAATGTTTTAAGTTATTCTGTTAAATGTAACTTTCATATTCAATTTACCTCTCAGCTTACAAATTGATAAATTGGTTATAAAGCTTGTGTTTAATGAATACATCCTGGAGTTATTCCTAACGTTTATATTATTCTGTGGTACTAATTATAAAAAAATATTAGTGGTGATTTACAGTGTTTTTTTTTTCTTGTGTTTAGATGTGATGAGTTGGTTTTCTCATTGTATCATTAATGTTGTTCGTATCTCACTATTTGATTAGAGTAGCCTACAAGTTGACAGTGTTGACATACTGCCTTTCGTTCTTATCTCACTGTTAGATTAGAGTAGCCTACAAGTTAGTGTTGACATGCTGCCTTTCCTTCTTATCTCACTCCTGTCGCAAAGCTTTAATAACGATCACTTTACCTGTCGCAAAGCTTTAATAACGATCACTTTACCTGTCGCAAAGCTTTAATAATGATCACTACCTGTCGCAAAGCTCTAATAACGATCACTTTACCTGTCACAAAGCTCTAATAACGATCCCTTTAGCTGTCGCAAAGCTTTAATAACGATCACTTTACCTGTCGCAAAGCTCTAATAACGATCCCTTTAGCTGTCGCAAAGCTTTAATAACGATCCCTTTAGCTGTCGCAAAGCTTTAATAACGATCACTTTACCTGTCGCAAAGCTTTAATAACGATCACTTTACCTGTCGCAAAGCTT